AGCAAAGAAAGAAGGTGTGAAGAAAGGAAAAAAAAAAAAAAAAAAAAAAAGATGAGCCTTATTTCCACCACCCAGTCTAATTCAGGGCAAATTTCACGAAAGAAACATCCCAAGCTCCCTCGTCACTCGGGACAAGACCCTATATTGCTTTACCCTTACTCTTCTTCTTCTTTCTTTGTCCAACTGATCAATTAAAGTAGTAAAAGGGCGTTTGGATAAGAGTATAGATGTCCAGTAGAGAAATTACAATCGAGCCGATCGCTCCGCCCTGCTACATACTATTTGTCCTCCTCCCCAGGTATCCATGCTTTCTAGTTCTTTTCTGCTGCAAACTTTTTGGCCAACAATGTGCCTGCTGGAGTTTGATAGCCCCATATCCATATCACCCCTCCCTCTTTTGCAACAAGCTACCACGCCTTACAAGAAAAGGACCTGCTTGAAGAGAGAAAAAAAAAAGGATAAAACATTGTTTAGCGATGAAGTAAACAGATCAGAAACCTTTCTCTCTCCACCCCTTTTCTCGCCACACCCCCTGGCTCACTCTACTATTACTACCACCATCCCCTTTCTTTTTCTCGGTAGTTGGAGCAGGGGTCAGGGGTGATGTAGGGGGGGGCCAGGTGCACAAGAGAGAGGAGAGAGAGAGAGACAGAGGCGTGATTGACGCAAAAATGGTCAATAGGGGGAAAAGCAAAAACAAAACGGGTTGAGTGCGAAAGCCGGGGATCGAACCCGGGACCTTAGCGTGACTTTGATATAGAGGGACACTCTATAAGCACTACGCTCTAAACCAACTAAGCTACAATCGCATCTCAATTCGCCTTGCCCAATCTGGGCACCCATCATTCCGTACGCCACACACTTCCGCCAATTTCACGTGACCCACTGGTGGCGCATCGGTCACGTGACTGAAGTTTACAGTTGGAAAGTCACATGACTTAAGCCTCAGAGTCGCCCTAGTGCTCGCGATCCACGACACGTGCGAAGAGGTGCGTGCCCAAGCACGGTTGCAGACCATCCGCTGGCGTTCACGGTGTGACGAGGATAGCCGGCCAAAAGGGAGACACAAACATTCGTCGAAGGCGAGATAGAAGACGAGAAGGTTGATGGAGGGTGTTGGAGCTGTTAATGTTTACTTAACAAAGGGTGCCTACGACATTGCACCTAGGGCCACGTCTCTGTCATAGGTTTACAGAGAGCCGGAGGTCCGCAAGGCAGTCGGCGATTGCGGTGGCTAGTGCATGAATCTCATGCACTTGACCTAAGCAATGGTTTTTCAAGCGAATTTTATACCCAAGAGTTGATGTACGGCGGTCTGTCTCTTCTTTCCCCACACACCACTCCTGAAGTATAGAGGTCGTGTAGACATGTTCCTTGTTAATTAAAAAAAAAAAGCCCCTTTCATCAGTTGGAAGAGTGTTTTGTATGTAACACTTCTCTCCGTTCACACACAAAACACACAAACCCATGGCGACCCTCACACTCTTGTGCCTTAAAAGCGGCGAGCATGGATCAAGAGCGTTTCCGGTTGCGGTGTCTTCAAGCAAGACGGTCGGAGCACTGAAGAAGGCGATCGTCAACAAGATACCGAATGCTTAGAGGGGATCGTTCCAGATTTAAAGGGGCAGCCCAGAAATAGTCTTGGATTCCAGAGAACCACTGTAACATGTTTTAAAAACAATACCCAAACTAGCAAGTTAGACACTCATGTAAAAAACTTTTGACTCATGTTCCCCCTCCTTGACTGACAGGCGAACATGAGGGAGAGAGAAAGAGAGAGTGTGTGTGTGTGTGTTGTGAGGTCTTTGGTAGTATTAGGCGGCAGATAAACATGACCAGTCTCCTAGAAGCGTGGAAAATAAACTTTGTTTGTGTAGGCAAGGCAAGGAAAGGGTCTGTCTGTCTGTCTGTCTGTCTGTCTGCACTCATGTGCGCGCTGCCTTTCATTCCCACTCTGCTGCTGGGCTTCGTTCTCATGCTCATTCCCCTTCTGTTGCTTGTCCTCCCT